TACAAATTAATGAGGTTCAGAGTTAACACAAATATGTAATGCTTTAATTCAGTTTAAACCAACATTATTCATGCACACATGTTAATCAAGAATCATCTTCTTTAATGTACAATCAAGATATTACACAAAGTAAAAGATAAGAATAAGAGAAGATTGCACAAGTCTTTTATCCTGGTTCAGCCACTCCACATGTGACCTACATCCAGTCCTCAATCAGAACCTGATCAAGATTTGTTCCACTATCTTAATGAAGAAGGTTTACAAGCATACCACACATGCATATACTCCTACATTCAAGATAACCACTTTCTTGACCCCAAGAAAGCTCTCCTTGTAGGAACCCACTACAAGAATTCCTTACCACTTGAGAAACCCTCTCAAGATTTTACAAGTATTCACAAAGAATTATGGAACGAATTCACCTGGAATTTAGAAGCAAATCTTAATCTTTTCCATTTCAAGAATGTGATGATGATGATGATTCTTTCTCAAAGATTTTCACAAACGTTTTTCTTCTTGGATTCGCAAAGAAAACTCTCCAAGATTGTCACAAAGACTTCACAAAAACTCTTTTCTAATTTTGATTCTCAATTCTAACTCTGTTCTTAAGTTTCAAAAAGTTCAAACTATTTATAAAAGTTTCAGAACCAGATAATCGATTATTTTAAAGAATAATCGATTATTTTGTTCTTCAGGTTTTCTGGAAACCAACCAAGAACAATATAATCGATTATTTTGCTAGATAATCGATTATTCCAGAGAGTCATTTCTATCATTTTTTGAGATAAATTGTGTATGAAATGCTGGACACATATATGTTGTGCTGTATAATGAATGTTTACTTGTATATGAAAATTTATTGTATGTATGCTGGACTGACTTTTATGAGTACGTGTCTTGGAATATAATTTTTGAATCTGCAATTTCTCTAAGTTTGATATATTGGTTTTATTGGTTATATTATATGTTTTTTTTATGATGTCCAAAGGGGGAAAAAGTTAAATTTGTTTTGCATGTCTGACTAAAAATAGTTAAGCACAACTATTGTGATAAAATAAAACAAAGCAAGCAATCTAAACTACTCATGGTGATCTTCTTACATGAGCAAAATATATTGGTGTTTGTCATCATAAAAAAGGGGGAAATTGTTGAGATTCATGGATGCTGAATCAAGTTCTGAGAGTTTTGATGATAACAAAGGACATAAGCTAACAAAGTGATAGAAAAGAATGGCTCAATCCAAGAGGGGGGTGAACTGGATTCTATGACACTTAAAATTTGTTTAGAGTTCTAAGGATCTTTATTTCAACTTAACCTTTTCTAATATGAATTCTCAAAGATGTTCCTTAAAAGACTTGCCAATGGGAATGAGTCCTATATGCTTTCTTTATTAATCTTGATTAAGTTCAATGTTAAGAACACTTAATATACAACCAAATTGAAATTTTGAATAGAAATTTAAAAAATAAAACTAGAACTTCTAAAACTCCTAAGTGCATCACTCTGAATCCTCTTGCATTCTAAGTTGAGCCTTAATCTACTTTACCTCTAACATAGTCATTCTCAATCAAAAATTTGCTCAGCCTAGCATACCATGATCTTAGAGCTTGTTTCAAGCCATAGAGTGCCTTTTTAAGTTTGTACAAATGATTAGGATACTTAAAATCAACAAAACCAGGTGGTTGCTCCACATACACTTCTTCTTGCATCAAACCATTTAGAAAAGCACTTTTCCCATCCATTTGGTAAAGCTTGAAATTCATTATTGAAGTATAAGCAAAAAGTAATCTAATGGCTTCTATCCTTGCTACAGGGGCAAAAGTCTCATCATAATCAATTCCCTCTTCTTGATTATACCCCTTAGCCACTAAGCTGCCTTATTTCTTATAATGATTCCAGATTCATCAAGCTTATTCCTAAAAACCCATTTAGTTCCAAAAATTGGATAATCACTTGGTAATGGCACTAAATCCTAAACTTCATTCCTTTCAAATTGATTTAGTTCCTCTTGCATAGCCATTAACCAATCTTCATCATGTAGTGCTTCATCTATTTTTTTGGGCTCAACTTGTGAAACAAAAGCCATAGTGTTACAAATATTCTTGATGGATCTTCTAGTTGACACTCCTTGACCAATGTTTCCAATTATATTTTCAATTGATAAGTCCTTAGAAGTCTTCCATTCCTTAGGCAATTGTTCACTTGACTTTTCAATGGTTTTAATTGATTCACTCTATTTAGGCATTTCATTTTCTAAGGGAGGTTGGTCAAGCAAATCAGTTTAGTCCTCTATGTTAGAAAAGAATGGCACAATCCAAGAGGGGGGTGAATTGGATTCTATGACACTTTAAAAATTTCAGAGTATTTAGGATCTTTATTTCAATTAAAATTTTCTAAACGTGAATTTTCAATGAAGTTTCCTAAAGACTTATTATAGAAGAATGAAACCTATCGGAAGGTTGCCTGATCCCCTGGGACATGAGTAGGGGCCTTCCTGACTTCGTGGGCCGACTTATGCATCGGTGCGTGAGACCGATGCGTGGCAGGTCATTGAGTCGGTGCCCTAGTCGCGGTTCAGGGTTGAGAGACTAAGTGCTCCTCCTCCTCATTGTGGTTGCTCGTATGAGGGGGATGATCTAAGTGTCACCGAGGAAGTTGAGCGAGAATTTGCTCGTTTTCAGCGCGTAGCGCCGCTAGGTCATCTTCATTAGCGGTCCTCATTGCAGCTAGGTCAGTTTCGTGCTTGGCATGCATGCTCTGCAGATCGGCGTCGTATTGTTTCCGCATCTGTTCGACCTGATCGATCAACCTCCTCAATGCTGCTTCGTTATCCATGGTAGATGGATGATCTAGGTCGTCTGTTGCGCGTCTACTATGACTTCTGGTGCAAACCATAAGCGTGGCCGATAAGAGCTGTCTTGATTGGCCCCACGGTGGGCGCCAAATGTTCTTACCGGAGATCTGCTGTGGAGATGATCCACCGGGTAAGGTCGGTGAGCCTCCTTCACTGGTACGCTGGTGCTACGAGATGGGGGTGGTACCTGTAAAAGAGACTCCGATGCTCAAATTAGGGTTTGTATGAGTATATGTCTCGTATAAATAATGCACGTACCTTAGTGTGAATTAGGGTTGCGTTGGGCCTTGGGCCTGAGATCAATATTTATTTATTTTTATCCAAATAAATGGAGTTTGGTTTTTCCACCACTCTTTATTTTATTTCTATCCATCTAAACAACATTTTTTCTTCTAATTTATTTCTCTTTTATTTTTATTCTTACCATTTTTTCTATCTGATTTATTTCATCTCCAATTTCACTTATAATACGAACAAGTAATGTATGACACACGGTTGCGAGATTCATTCAAATTAATCTATTTTACTTAATCCTATTATAATAGCAATGGCATCACAAACTGTAGCTTTGTATTGTAATGGCCTACCTATAGTACTAAATCCTAAACACATTTGGCCAACACTAATATGCATCAATCTGGCCTATGGCCTTGGTTGGAGCAGCAACATTTCAATAAGGGAGTCTTAGATTATTTCAATGTAGTTTTCCCTTTTTCGGATGAAAATGAAATCATCTAGAGCCTAGAGGGTGTCTTTGTCAATTGATCACCATACTTAATGAGTTATTATATTAAAACCCATGTTTTGGTAAACTTGATGTATAAAATAGGATGTCAAGTAGAATTTTTCTAGTGAGGGCTTGATAATTTTTATATAAAAGAATAAAGGGCAGGGTTAGTCACCCTTTTCTTTTCAGTTAATTAATATGACTTTCTTTTCAGTTAATTGACATTAATATGATGAAACTAGACATAACAAAAGATATTTGAAGAGCAAAACCTTTGGATTAGTAACAATAACTCCAAAAGAATAAAATAAGGATTGGGAAAATAAAAGAAGAATATTACCAAGTAGTTAATTAGCACACATGTCATTATTTCTGTGTAGGGTTTTAAAATGTGACTGCAATGTAAAGGAATTTAGCTTCACAACAAATGCATCACAACCACAATTGCAGCACATTTTCTCACAAGTTTCCGCAATGCAACCACAACTATAATTTAGAATCATGCTTATGTGAAACAACTATGCTTAGTTAAAGAAAAAAGTCTGAGAAAGATTATCCTATAATAAGGCTCTAAGCCTCAAGTCTTGAAAGACAAGAGAACTAACATCCTCCAAAAGTAGTGGCCATGGATACTCATGGCAAGGATAAATTAGGTTAATGAGTGGTTTGTTTCATAATTTATCATCAATAATACTCTCAACCACACACGCCAAGCCTATTAAAATGGAATAAAAAATAATTTCCATTCAGAAGGGAACCCAAACATAGGAGAGTTGGTAAAACTTATAAGCATTCACACTTTAATGATTCCATACTTAAAAACCAAATACACACACAATAGAATACCTTATTGACATGGATTGGTTTGCCATAAAGCTTAATCATGTTAAGCACCTTGGTGGCCTACAATAGAAGAAAAAGAAAAGCAAAATTAGCGAGAAGATGTTAGGTTTAGAGAAGGGACTTCCAAATACTCACATAGTCAGCATATTTTTTCACTCTAGAATTCAACAAATCCATAACCTTGATATTGGTTGGTGACTATCTTTTGGAGCATAGACATTAACTGAGACAAATTTAAGGAGACTGAGTTTATTTAAACTTAAAGCTAAGAAAATGAATAAATGACAATAACATACCAACTGGACCTGCTTGAACAAACAACTCCCACAATAACTCTTCACTTATCTGTGACCCAAAGAAAAGGGGTTAATCCTAGAAAGTGCAAGAATGAGGGACATTGGAGAATGAGAATTTTACATTTGAGGGTCGAGATTGTAGACATAAGCAATGGCATCTTGATCCCTCTCAATGGCGTGTTGACCGAGCAAATTGGCTCCACCACCAGGCCCAATTCTTCAAAGAATGATGGGAAGCTTTTGTTTGGAGAGGGCTTTTTACGGAGACGGTGGGGGGGCTTTATTTGGAGATGGCATGCGCTGGTGAGGGAAAGCTATTACTACTACATCGGTTATAATACTCAGCTTCACATGTTGATAAGGCAATCGTGCTTTGCCTCTTGCTAGTCCATGAAACCAAGCAGCAACCAAGGAAATGACATCCTCCGCTAGTGCCTTTTCTTTCCCATTTGTCTCCTGCATAATCTGCATCACAATATCCTAGAAGAGAAAATTTTTGGCTTCTATAGAAGCTGATGCCTAGGTTAGGTGTTCCTTTAAGATATCTTAAAATTCTTTTAACCGCTTGTAAGTGTACCTCCTTAGGTCGTACTTGGAACCTAGCACAAACGTAGACGCTGAACATGATGTCGGGTCTTGACGCTGTTAGGTACAAGAGAGAACCAACCATTCCTCGGTACATCGTGCTATCAACATCTGGGGATTCTTCGTCCAAACCAAGAGTAGTTGAAGGATGCATTGGTGTCTTCATTGGTTTCGCATCTTCCTTCTTAAACTTTTGCAATAATTCTTTTGTATATTTTGTCTGATGAATTTTGATTCCTTCTTTTGATTGGACGATTTGAAGTCCTAGAAAGAACTTCAGTTCTCCCATCATGTTCATTTCAAATTCATCCTGCATAAGCTTGGAAAACTCTTGGCATAGATTTTCATTAGTAGCACCAAAAATCATGTCGTCTACGTAGATTTGAACTATTATGAAATCATCCTTTATTTCTTTTCTAAACAAAGTGTTGTCAATTTTGCCTCTTATAAAATTATTACTTGTTAGAAAGGAACTTAATTTTTCATACCATGCACGTGGTGCCTGTTTTAATCCATACAGGGCTTTGTTTAGTTTGAAAACATAAGATGATAATAGTTCATTTTCGAAACCAGGAGGTTGACTTACGTAAACTTCTTTCGAGATTATTCCATTTAAAAATGCACTTTTAACATCCATCTGGTATAATTTCATGCAGTACATGCAACAAAAGCAAGTAAAATTCTAATGGCTTCTATTCTAGCAACAGGTGCAAAAGTTTCAGTAAAATCTATACCTTCCTGCCAAGAGTACCCTTTTGCAACTAACCTTGCTTTGTTCCTTACCACGTTCCTTGATTCATCCAATTTATTTTTGTACACCCATTTTGTTCCTATGATCGTCCTGTCCTTAAGCATTGGAACAAGTTTCCAGACGTCATTTTTTTGGAATTGGCTTAGTTCTTCCTGCATGGCCTGAACCCAGCTTTCATTTGATAGGGCTTCATCCGTGGTTTTTGGTTCAACTTGGGATAGCAGTGCAATTTGTGCTTGTGTTTTGAACGAACTTCTAGTTCTTACTGCATCCTTTACTTCTCCAATGATTTGTTCTTGTGGGTGGTGAGCTTTCATCTGCCAGTTGCGATTGACTGGTTCTCTTTCCTCTCTTTCATCCTGTTAAGTCACTATTTCTTCAGACTCAGGCTTTTTCGACTGATCATTGTTCACCTGCATGTTTTTGAAGAAATTGCCTAGCTCTGATATTTCTTTATCAGGCTTATTTTCATCAAATTTAACATGAATGACTTCTTCAACAATTGTGGTTCTGTTGTTGAATACCCAATAGGATATTGACCTTTCAGAATATCCAAGTAGGATACCCTCGTCGGATTTCCAGTCAAATTTTCCTTAATTGTCTTTGGTATTCAAAATAAAGCATTTGCATCCAAACGGGTGAAAATATGATATGTTGGGTGCTCGTCCCTTCCATAATTCATAGGGAGTCTTTTTTAATAAGGGCCTAATATATATTCTGTTTTGAATATAGTAAGGAGTATTAATTGCTTTTGCCCAGAAATGTTTTGGGGCTGGAGAAATCGTTTAGTAAAGTTCTTGCCATTTCTTGTAACGAGCGATTCTTTCTTTCTACAACCCCATTTTGCTGTGGAGTTCTAGGTTTTGAAAAATTGTGTTTAATTCCATTTTCTTCATAAAATTCTTGAAATTGATCATTTTCAAATTCTCCCCCGTCATCACTTCTGATAGAAACAATTGATATTCATTTTTCATTTTGAACTCTTTTACAGAATACATGGAATACCTTAAAAGACTCATCCTTGTGAGTTATGAACAAAACCCATGCCCATCTGGTGTAGTCATCCACAATAACCAATCCATATCTTTTACCACTTACAGATGCTATCTTAGTGGGATCGAATAAATCTATGTGGAGCAGTTCAAGAGGTCTTGAGGTGTACAAGATTTGGTAGTCCTCGTATGAGGTTATGTTTTTTCAGCTTTGAGATTAATCTTTGGCTCGCATGACCAAGTTTCTTGTGCCAGATCCATTGATTTTTATATGAAACTAGACAATCAACATTTTGATTTTCTAGTTTGTTAAGCATTATTTTATATAGGTTGTTGCATCTGTTAACTGTAAATAATACGGATGAATCAGGTTGACTCACAGTATATTTATTTTTGTTGAAGGATACCTCATAACCACTATCACACAATTGACTTATGCTTAGTAGATTATGTGTTAATCCTTTAACATGGAGAACATTATCAATGGAAATAGAGGAGTTGATACCTATTTTACCTATCCCCATGATATGTCCTTTCTGTCTTCCTCCAAATGTGACTTGCCCTCCTTTCTTGGGCTTGAGGTTTAGGAACATAGACCTTTCGCTCGTCATGCATTACGAGCAGCCACTGTCCAGGTACCATGACTAGACACTTTTTTTTCTTGTTGAACAGATTTGCAACAGGCACTATTTCAGTCTTTGGTACCCAAATGGATTTGGGTCCATGAGTGTTAGTACTGGAGGTTGTGGAATCCCTCTTCTTGTGCATGTGACTACACTTGGACGTAAAATGTCCGTTCTTGTTTTAATTTCTGATTCAGAGTTAACATATCCTAGTCGTGATCTATCTTTCCCATTCCTGGAGTGTTTGAAAAGATGCTCAAGATTTTTGGTTCCTATTGTGAATTTTGATAGATCTGATTTCAACAAATCAATCTCTTTGTTAGGCTTGATTACTTCTTCTGAAGTTGAAAAACCTTTTTCTGTCTCTTCTAAGAGCTTTGCATTTTCATTTTTCAGTAAAAGATTTTCTTCAAGTAGTTCCAAATTTTTTTTTTGATCTTTATATGCAGTAGAGATTTTTGATGAATCTGATAGAAGTTGATTGTATGCATGCTCAAGAATTTTAAAGTTAGATTAAATTACCTCCTCAATATCAGATTCTGATGATGAGTCTGTGTCTGCCATAAGACAGATATTTGCTTCTTTGTCATCCTCAGATGACGTTGTGTCGAGGTCCTCCCAAGTAGCCATGATGGCTTTCTTCTTTTTGTAGGGGATCAACTTCTTCTTCTCTTTTTCTTTTTCTTTTTCGTGTTCTGGACATTCTGTTTTGTAATATCCAGGTTTCTTACACTCATAGCATAATGGTTGTGCCCTTTCCCTAAGAGTTCTACTGTATTTCCTCCATCATATTCCTGCCTTTTTCTTCATTATTGAATGAATTTTTCTTGATAGGAAAGATATTTCATCTTCTGTATCGCAGGTCCCTGCACTGTAGCTTTCATCAGACTATCATCTGCCTTTAGAGCTTTTGAGGAGGATGGTATAGATTTTGTCTTCTACACATTTAGTGTAATAGACTTTTGTTTTCTCCCAGCATCATCTTGTTGTAACTCTAACTCATGAACCTTAAATAGTCCAATGAGTTCCTCCAGGGAGAGCTTTTCCATATTTTTGGACGCTCTCAAAGAAGTAACCTGTGGTCTCCATTTCCTGGGCAAACTTCGAAGTAATTTGTCAATATGATCAAAGTTATCATAAGTTCTACCTAGGAAGGAAAGTTCATTAACAATGGTTTGGAATCCTCCAAACATAGTTTGTATAGATTCATTTTCTTCCATCTCAAATAGTTCATACTTATGTGCCAACAAGCTTATCTTGTTGCGCTTTACCTCTAGGGACTGTCGCCACCGGCCCGAAACGGGCTTTCGGCATTCGCGAAGGATGGTTGGACTCTTTTATTTGTTTAAAAATATGGATTGCTAGAATGACTTATTCTCAAACTGAGACCTTGTCAAACGAGCAATTTTATTAAAAGGCTCACCAATCCATGTTAATCCCAAGCGGGACCCTCCATGGATTAGCGGTTTTCATAAAAAGGAAGGGTTCATGGAGTCGCCACCAATGTTTTACTCAAAACATTGGAAAAAGAAGTTTAAGGCAATCGATTCAAAAATCGACTTCGGCCATGACAACCAGAGTCGGGTAAGGGAGTCGGTTACGCGTGGGGAAGGTGTTAGCACCCCACAGCGCCCCTTTCGGGTTCCCTATGACAGATTATTTCTAAAAATAATAGTGCGAAATTACTAAATTACCCCTATTTATTCTAAACAATTATAACTTAACTATCTACATGATGACAGTTAAATATACACACAGAAAGCAGTAAAAGGAAGGTCTTAAGAAGAAACCTTTGAAGCGTGCTTTTATATTCAAGTAAAACTGGGAAGCTTTTTGGCGTTCCCTCGCTCTACAAGCCCGCTCGCTCCCTCCTAGAAAATTTTAACTATGGAAATCCGGAGGATTTCCCTTCGACTCAGTTCGAGACTCAAGCAAAAAGCTCAGAACTCGAGAACTTTGTCGGATCAACTCTCCGAGTGATTTCTAGGCAGAGCACTGCTCAAAAAAACCCAGAATACTCAAGAAGAGGGTTAAAACTCAGTGTAAAAGTGTAGAATGACGTCCAAATGACGTCTTATTTATAGGGAACAGGCGCAATACGGGCCCTGGAGTCAATACGGTCCGTATTGAAGTTTTGAACTTCAATACGGCCGTATTGAGTTCAGTGCGGCTGTATTGAAGTTCAGAAACTTCAATACGGCCGTATTGAGTTCAGTGCGGCTGTATTGAAGTTCAGAAACTTCAATACGGCCGTATTGAGTTCAGTGCGGCTGTATTGAAGTTCAGAAACTTCAATACGGCCGTATTGAGTTCAGTGCGGCCGTATTGTAGTTCAAAATGTTCAATACGGCCGTACTGAACTTTTGGGAGGCCGTATTGGGCTTTATTCCCTCCACTTCCTTATTTTGAGCTATTATAAGACCTCTAGACCTACAGAGAATCCTCCTAGGGCCTTCCATGAGTCCTTCTGGCTGACTTTCCTTCAGTCTTCAAGAGTCTTCAAGCTTTATTTCTGACCCAGACAATTTTAGGGGTCTACAGGGACCCCTCGTAGGTCAGAGTTAGGGTGTCCCACATCTGTTTGGCACTTTTAAAGTTGTGAACTTTAGTGTATTCTTCCTTAGATAGAGCACACATGAGTGCGTTGCGTGCTTTGGAGTTTAGCACAAATCTTTTCTTTTGCTCTTCACTCCATTATGCTTTGGGCATCTCATTGCCAGCTTGATCTAGTGGAATGTAGTTTCCTTGCTCAACGACGTCCCACATGTCTATATGACGTGCATCAAATAATGCAATCATTCTTTGTTTCTAGAAGTCATATTTTGTTCTCTAAAGAGTGGTGGGCGGTTCACGGCTTGTCCTTCATATTCCATGATTGTTACCCCTGCAGTGTTAGATGCTCAACCCTAGGGGTTAAGCTCTGATACCAATTGAAGTTAGCAAAAATACACACAGAAGGGGGGTTGAATGTGTGTATGCATGTTCGAAGGTAGATTTTTGAAAGTTGCTTTGCAATGCTATTTTTCTCTTAAATTGAATAAGTGTTCAATCACGGTTGAAAACTTGTGTAGGCTTGTATAGAAGATTTGTCTAACAAAACAAATTGTCTACTTTAAGAAACAAGTTGGGTGAGTTTGTTTTCCGTCTGAAAGATTTTATCGTCCAATAAAAGGAATTGTTTCTCAAACAAGATAAGCAATTGTATTTTTCGTCTAACAGTTTGTTGAAAAGAAAATGGATGAAAATGAAGTGAGTATAGGAGAAGGTATGA